ACTTGGATAAAGGCCTTTGCTACCCACAGCCAGCGGCCAAACAATTTCTGTATGTGCTCTATAGCTATTTCAAGGTTCTGTGCTGTCCTGCAGGAGTAGGAGAAGGGAAAGGTTTTAAAAGTTACAGCTTCTTGTCAAGTCAACCTGGTTTTCCTCCAATGCTGAGTGGCCTAGGCAGAGATCAGGCACTGAAGCCAATAAATGACTATGGGTAAATACAAAGATTAGATGTTGAATTAAAATGAGACTCCTCAGATCAGCCCTTTGCACTGAAGTGGTTAAGTGGGCTGTGATTAAAAGAAATAAGTAATTATCCCAATTACAGATAAAAAGATACGGAATTACCACTTTAAAAGCACCTCCTGTGCTCTGGAGTGGTTCTGTTATTTGCAAAGTGGTGGTTCATCATTATGTAGCCTAAGCAAGAGGGCACCCTCTGGGTGTAGTGCAGCAGCCCTGTCTCTCCAAGGTGGAGCCCGTGCTGTGCTTTGTCCCCCAAGCACAACTCCAAAGTTCAAGTCTTGCTCCAGTGAGCAGCATGGTGCTAAGCCAGGAGAAATTGTGGGAACCTTTCTATCTCAGGCTTAGTGCAGGGTATACTAGAGTTCACAGAGCTCTCCCAGCTTGGCCATGACCACTGCTAGAAATGGCTTTTATGATCACCAGGTTTTAAATAATAAATAAAACAAAGAAGCAAACTGAAGCACTGGAGAACAGCCCTGGGTGGTGACATCCTGTCACAATTGAAGCATGGCAATTCTGCCGGCTAGTAACTTATTACAAAACGTTTCTTTACCAGCTTCTTCTTACTCTGGGGCAAAGTGCCTGTGTGCCTGTGGGACTGAAAAGTTCCGGACACGCTGGGTCATGGACGCTGGCGGATCCTCTGTGTCCCCACTTGTGGTGCAGTGCTGGGAGACGTGTTACACTCTTGCTCTCCCTGCTGCATCCCTTATTGTGCATAGGAATTTGGTTTCTAGTGCTGTCAGTCAATTCAGTGCCACGCATAAGCCCTAAATGCCCCACGGGCTGTTTGTCAGAATGTTCCTATTAACAACTCAGTGCAAATAAAGTGTGAGGGGAAGGGAAGGTGAAGAAATAAATCTTATTTTAAATCTTTTGAGCTGGTTTTATTTTAAATGGAAAGTTGCATGCAGACCACCCCAAGCTATTGTGCTGTGGTCTGCGTCAGCTGCTCGACTCTGCAAGGAAGATTGGGCTAGAGGTTAAGAGCATCACACAGGGGAAGGGTGCACTGAATTCCTTTTGTGCTGTATCCAGGAAGTTTTAACTCAGTATGGAGTTGAAATACATTGACACACATGGTAGTCATTATAGGATGAGAACGGAATATTCAAATACAATAATTTGCTGCTCCCATTCTGGGGATTATGTTGGTTTCTGACTCTTGTAGAGGTAGTGACATGTTGTAGGGAGGTATAGAAAAATGAAGGGCAGATGCTATTCTGGAGTGCTCTCAGGACTAATTGCTGAGCTTAGCACAGTATCTGTTGTCCAGACACAAGTCTCTGCCTACCTAGTGATTGGCTTTGGAAGGGTGGGTGGCTCTGCAATATGACAGTGCTGTTGCATACTTGGTTTAAATGAACTCTTCAAGCAAAGAACTGCAGAATTGTATACCAAGTGAGCGATGCAGAGAAAAAACGGAAACACTGCAATATCTTCTGCTGTGGTCACACCACAGATGGAGGTAGGTAACAGCCTCCTGAACCAGCTTTTATTTAACTACCATAGGCATTGCTAGCAGAAGTAGTTTATCAGCAGCACTTCAATGTAGATAGCACATATCCCTGGAGCCCCTTCCCAGTGTATGGTCCTGCTGCTCTGTCGTCAGGTATTTATATTCCAGTCAGTACAGTTTTATATTCCAATCAGTATGGGACTACAAGAGCTCTGAACATATCCCCAGTTTGAGTAGAACAATAGCAAACAAGGGAAAGACTGTAATCAAGTATGAACATGGAAAATAGAGGATGCAAAGGTACAAGCCCTGTCTCAGGAAGATCTGAGGCAGAATGCTGGTGACACAGAAGCTTTCTGGCTTCTGTATTCCTTTTTTCTTAGAGAATTGCTGGCAGGCTGGCCAGTCTCCATCTCAAGGCTGTCTCAGTCTTGCTCCTGTTCACCCTGCAGATTTGGTAACCAGTCCATAGTTACCAAAGAACAACAGGGAATCAGATACAGGCAATGTGTTAGAGAAGGAAAGAGTTTTGAGGAGTTGAGTAATGCACATTTTTTCCATCCAGCGTAACTGCTAATGGTAACCTTTTATTACTAAAGTGGTCAAAGTGACTAGAATCTGGTTTGTTTATAGGGACTACATGCATGGCTGTACAGTCTGATGTGATCAAAAAAGGAAACTGATAATAAGGGAAAAATATACCTATGGAAGCAAGTCAGGTGATGTTTTGTGTAATTCCAAGTAGCACTGCAGAGATTAACAGCCTTGGCAGCCTTTTCATCTTAAACTTTATTTTTATAGGGGTTTATAACTTGGCATTGAAGTCAAGAGTGGGTGGAAACTTGGCAAATGTGGTTCAGCCCAGAAAGTGAATGTTATTTATATTTATTTCTCACCAAGTTTTCAAAAACACTTGGTTACTGTTTTTATGTTCTAACAAGTAATAATTTGTTGATTTCAGTGACTTATTCTCTGTGTGCTTCTCAAACTACAAATAGTTCAGAACTTCTTCAGCTCTTCTGAAACTCCTAGCGGAAGGACTCTATTTTTAGGGTTGTCAGTGATGTAGCAGGATGCTCCAAGTATTTCATTACACGGAACAACAGCTTTATTCTACTTACACCTGCCAAGTAGCTATTGTACCATTGGAATAATTGCATTTGGCTAGCAACTGTGTGCATTTAATGGCATTACTCAGGTGCAGGCTTAGTGCAGAGGGGCTGAGGAGGCAATGGAATGGCCATGTTGGCTCTGAATAATCCATGTTGCAGAACGTTGAGACTGTGATGAAGCAGCCCCTCCTCACTCCCCTGCTCAACCTCTGGATTGGTGTTGGGTCCATCCCTGGAATTAGCACTACTCTTATTGAATGTTTCACATTAATTTCATGTCTGTGCCTGAAGTGGTATAGAGCTTTCTGTACCACATTTCATGGAGGCCTACTGACATCATGAGGAGCAGCTTTTGAATAGGGATTTTCAGTATTTTCAGCAAGATGAAATACTCTTATGTATTATGTATCTGACAGCCTGTGAGCAACAGAGCAAAATGGTCATTTGCTGACAATATTTGTGTATCACACGTTTTGCATTGCCTTTCATAGTTGAAATGCAAGTAAACACTTACTTAGAAATTCAGTTGGGTTTGGAAACATTGTGGAAAAGTGGAATTCGTAGTATTTGAAATTAATTTTTATTTTTAATTTTTTTATGCAATTATTTAATAGAAAGCTAAAGATGTTATGGGATTTTCCTTTTAAAGAAAGGGAAGAGTGATTTAAAACTTCTTACAAGGAAATCTTGGATATTAATTCACCTAGTTGTAAAATTCAGTACTTGTGATGTTCCAGAGTATCAGTTCTAAAGATAGTAACTGTGTGTTTGTATATGTTCAGGGCATGACTCCCTCTCTGTCTTAGATGAACTCTGGAACATGAAAAGAACTGTCTTTCTATTTAGAAGAAAACAGAGCAAGTCATCAGTAAGCTGTCATTCTGAGTATTAACTGTGTAAAGCTGCAAAGCTTTAAATAGATTAGGATTTTAAAAAGAGTTCAAAACCTTGTACAGTTGTTAATCATTACACAAGTTACAATACTATTATGACCTTTCTGAAATAAATCCTGTCTTGTTATTTGCTGTGACCAATACAGGAATGAGGTAGTGGTTTTCTATGATGCATGTTTTTAAACACTTTTATATCAGATCAATATAAAAATACCAATTCAGTTGCATGTAGGGACGCTTATGGAATCTGCAGCCTATTGTAAAATGACTTCTGATTGTTTAAAATTATCTAGGTAGGAGTTGTATTTATGCACTTGCTAAACTTAATTTCCTATTTCAAATGGTACTTCTGGAGAAAATTTAATTTTGTAATATATGCATTTGTTTTGCAGTTACCTGGAAAGATACTGGGATATTCCTGACATAAGATATTTAACAGGGACAATGCACATCAGTATATAAAACTACAGTATATGCATTTAGTGTGTACTGTTTAATTTTTTGTGACATGACGTCACTTAAAGATCACTGTTGTGCTGAACAAAGTTCTTGAAAACAGCGAAGGCACTTTCTTTCAAGCGGGCATTTGTGCAGAAGTGCTTTAAAGTTGCTGCACAGATTCATGGCAGTGAGGCTTTGGCCATAGGAGCCATTGCTTTAAACCTTTCTCATGTGTGAATTTCACTGTTTTGTAATATGCTTTCACACAACCAGCATGAATCTGCTGTGGTGCACCTGGGTGAGCTGATAGTACCAAATAGCTTTATCCACACACAGTGCAAGGTAGAGTTTATGTGGAAAAGATAATAGCTGCCAAGTTTGTAATGAGAAGCAGTGCCATGGGCTGCACAGGGAATGACCTTGTTTCTATTTGGTTTGTGTGAGTGGATACCAATTAGAGTTTCTTTTCCTTTACCTAGATGCCAGTCATTGTGAAACACTGACCACTCTTAAAGGTTAATCAATTTGCTGTGACAGATTCGAATGTTAGTAACAGTATAAATGGAAGTGTCCAAGCTTATTTCTTTAGGGAAGGAGGCCGGAGAGGATACCTGCTGTTGGTTTGTAAGGAGTCTTCATGAGCTGTGGATGAAGCCTGGGAAGTCCAAAGGAGTGTTAATTATTCGTGTTGCTTTTACTTTGTGTTTCTTTTGCTTATGTTTCTATGATATTTCTATGCAAGTGTAGACTTAAAAGGTAAAGCAAGTGCTGTTGTGTGCAGTCACCTGCAATATAGTCCTTGCCCTAAGTGCAAACTGAAATGACAGCAAGCTGATTTTTCTCTTTTAACAGTGGAAAGAGTGGAAAGAGAAAACCTTTCAGACTATTGTGTTCTTGGTCAACGTCCCATGCACTTACCAAATATCAACCAGCTGGCAACTTTGGGAAAATCTAATGAACAGTCTCCTCATGGCCAAATTCACCACAGTACTCCAATCCGAAACCAAGTGCCAACGATGCAAACAATGATAAACCCTGGGCTCCTGTCTCCTCAGCTCAGTCCACAACTGGTGAGGCAGCAGATAGCCATGGCCCATCTGATAAACCAGCAGATTGCTGTCAGCCGACTCTTGGCTCACCAGCACCCACAGGCCATCAACCAGCAGTTCTTGAATCATCCACCCATCCCTAGAGCTGTCAAACCAGAGCCATCAAATTCATCGGTGGAAGTCTCTCCAGATATTTACCAGCAAGTCAGAGATGAGCTGAAGAGAGCCAGTGTGTCTCAAGCTGTCTTTGCAAGAGTAGCATTCAACCGCACACAGGTATCGATTTCTGTTCTATAACCGAGAAGGGGCAAAGCTGTGGCTCTTATGGGGCTGTGTGATTGTTGGAGATCGGGGCAGGGGGTGTGCCATAGGAACAGGTCAAACCACTCTCAGTCTTTCTCCAGTCTCTTTGTCAGTTTTGAACAGGGCTGTTTCTGTTCTGCATTTGGCCACTCCTGGGCTGTTACCTGAGCTTTGTTCTCTAGCAGTCATTCTGCTTATGGGAGTTCTTCCCTGAGCTCCTCTCTGTGGTTGTAAACTTCCACATTTCCCCCTGCCTGATTGCCAGGAAGAGGTAATAAGAGACTGAGGGTCAGAGGTGTTTTTGGGCTTCCTTCTGACACTTCCTCAATTCCTTCCTGTGGTACAACTGATGTCACAACTAGTGCCAGAGGCTGCTCCCACAAGAAATGTGTAAGGCAAGTGTGCTGGGAAAAGTGTTTGCCTTTTGTATCAGATTGTCTTTGCTTTCATACATCTGACACAGGTTTTCTCACTCACTTAGTGAAATGCAGATGTTGAAATGATTGTATGGTAGTATCAGCTTAAGCCTGGGCACCTGGAGTACCCAAGGTGAATGTGTGCTTAGAAAGACAGGCCATTTACATTTATCCTGCAGGATACAACATGTGATCTCTCAATTGTGATACTCTGTAGCAAGGCTTAAGAAATGGAAAATGGCTTAATATTTAATATTGTTACGAATTCCTTTTGTGTAGCTGGAGTAAAATTTGTGTAGCTTTGAGGTAAGATTAACCAGCAAGACAAGAAACAGAGGAGTGTGTATCTCTAGGAGGTCTGTCCCTTGCCCCATACAGTACCTTCGTCTGTTCTCCTACATTAATGATTTTCTTTGGCACTGCCATTTTGGAAATGCCATGTTATGAGGGAACTAATTAAAGTATGGAACACATTTTATTACTTCCCTTCTTCCATTAAATTCATAAGATGGCTGCACTCAGAGAAAAACACTTGAGTTCTGGGGTTAGCCTTGAGGATATCAAATGAAAACTACATAGGAATGTATGAGTATTTCCTCTTTAAAATGCTGCTTTTAATTTGGAAAAGCTTTTCATCCCTCTGGGATCATAACCCGTTGTATATAAAGCCTGGTATAATCAAGGTGGATGGTATTGACAGAATGACATATTCTGAACTGGAGCAAGGGGTCAGCAGTAACATTGCCAGTGAGGATTTTGTCACTGTCAACGAACATGAAGCTCTCCTTTAGCCACACTGGGAGACCTGGGCTGGTAATGCCCAAGTCTGCTATTAAATCAAAGGCTCATTCCCCAGCAAGTAAGATATTGCCTGCTTCTTAGCCCTCCATCATAGGTAATATGATATACTTACTGATTCCAGAACATTCCTACAAGTCTTACAGCATCCATAAAAGATTTGCTCATCTTACAACGGTATTTTGTTAGTCAACAGCACCCTAATACAGAAGATCAGTGGTCTTACATTTAGTGCATCATGCCCCCAGGAGCCATAACTGTAGCAAAAGAGTATAGACACACACTTATATTTCCTTAATTCCAACTCAAATCAAGCTCCCCTCAAATCAGGGACTGTTCAGGGTATAAGAAGAGGGGCTTGGGCAGTCAGTATTGCACTGCACAGTAGAAGGTGTGGGATATTCCCACATATCCATGGTGGAGAAGCAAACTCTATAAAAGGCTCTTGGAGTGGAAATTCAAGTTTACTCTCACCTCCATGCATCTCTTTTGCTGCCTCCAAGGTATAGAGAGGCGTGTGTTTCTCTCTGGAAAGGTTTGGGTTTGTTGCATTTCACAGAAGTGCCAGCATTGGAAACTGGAGGTCTTTTGTTTCTCCTGATGGTACCAAATAATAGATGCTGTGTGCCAGACAGCTAATAATGGTATTAATCACTGCATTATGGGCCACTGCTTAATCTTTCTTCATGGTAGCTCTGTGGTGCACATTAGCCTATAATTAAGTATAGCTTCATGAAATATGTACTGTGAGGCTTGTTTAATAGATAAACTATTCTCTAATTTATTTTAAAGTCCAATGACCTACATACTCAATGCTGAAAAGCCCCTTCTTACTAACATTATTTCTCCCTTGAGACCTTCCATCTGAGCAAATCTGTTAAATGAAGTAGAGGAAGCTTTGATCCAAACTAGGCTAAGTCCATCAGAACAAGTGGCTGACACTTGTACGTATGCATGTGTGTGTGGGAGGGAGAATGTGAGGAGGGGCAGAAGGAGAGATGAAATTGTATGGTTTGTAAAACATCCAAATCTTCCTCTTGAAGTTGGAAATACGTAACTGAAGACAACAATATTTGCATGTACCTGTGAGCATGTTGTCTGCACACGTGAAAACAAAGCACTTCAGGCTCTGTGACAAGTTCTGTACAATTCCTGGAGCTCAGTGCTCCCACTGACGTGGAGACTGAATATCAGGCAGTTTAGTACCTGCTGTATGCACAGGAGAGCTGCACAGGCTGTTTGGCAAGGAGCTGGCCCAGGCTGAGTTAGCCATGAAGAGGGTTTCTTTCAAACAGAAATTTCCAAAGTGAGAATTTTCCTATTCATTTGAAAGTGTGAATGAAGAACCCTCAAAGTGCATATGCCTGATATTTGGTAAGTTTCTTGGGCTAACCTCTGCTTCTTCTTATATTTAGGGGCTCAGTGTCATAATTTTAATTCACACTATTGTGGAATCTAAATACCTATTTATTCACCACATGGGATGGGTAGAAGCACACACAGAGACAATGTAATTATTGCAGGTGGTTTTGATGACATTTTTCAATAGGAAAGAAATTTCTACACAACCTTCAAAATATTTAAAATGGTGGTGCACACTACCATGTTTGTCTAAGATGGTGTTGCCTACAATCTGCTCAGCAATGGATGAGAATGGTGCCTTTTGGAATGACACCCTATTGAGCCTTTGCTGCTCTTGTAGCTTGGAGAGAGCTTGCCGTGGCTAAGGCAGTTAGCAGAATTATTGAGGCAGGAGGTTCAGTTTCTTGCTTGTGTATAATGGCATTATTTGTGCCCAGATGTTTTATGGCCAGGATCCTTGGCTTTGGCTCCCTCTTGCCTCTTCTGACCCTAAGTCAGAAGAATGAGTTGTTTAGTGAAATAGTTTGTTCCTTCTGCTCAGACTGCTGCTATGAACTGAACTCACTAATGGGAGCTAAACATCCTTATCTGGACCTTAAAAACTGCATGCAGGAGTGTGAATGGATTTGAATTGGAGCTTTTTGAGGCCCGTGAAACACCCGGATAGTCATATGTGATACCTTTAAAATGGAAGGCATCTTCATAAGGCACATAGGCCTGAAGCCAAGCTGAAGTTGTTTCTCAAACAGTCTTTAGGGAAAGGTTTGAGTTCTGTAAGACATTGGCACTTTCTGGTTGTATAAAGCCACTCAATCTTGAGAAAAAAAAAAAACAAAGTTCTGATTAATACTGTAAAATCTGTAAGAGAAGTACAACTGTCAGAGCAGGTGTACCTCACACTTGGAATTGCCCTGTGCACATTTTTAAAAGCAGTCAAAGCTCATGAGTGAAGGAAGTGTCTGCAATATACAGACTGTAGAGGGTGAGGAGGTTTTAGTGCACAGAGGGAGCTGATGTCTCTCTTTGGTCTCAGACAGTGCAGTGAAGTCAAAAGGCTGTCAGTACAGTGCAGTACTGCTCCAGTGCAGGCTGGAGTTCTCAAAAAATGCTTACTTGGCTGAAGCCTGCATTGTCTTTGCATCAGGATAACTTCCAGGTGATAGGTCGCCTCTGAAACCATGAGTACCACATTGGCCAGTGGAGATACTCTGAAATGGGAGGCAGGACAAGGGCTATGGACTTTTCCTTGGAGAATACTTACATGGAGTTTGGCCCATCCTCAGGGCAGAGTCCCTGTACCATCCTGCAGTTTATTGTCTCCTAATGCAGCATTCAGATTCCAATCTGAACCAAAAGGTTGTAATAACCAGAACTTGCTTATTGCAGGTTGTAATGTTTTGATAAATTGGTAGGTGGTGTTGGTTACAGAAAAAAGTAGTACTAAGAGGAGCATTTTAAAGTAAATGCGTGAAAAATTACCTTGTGCTTTGCTGGAGAGCTTTTCAGCAAATCTGGAGGGACTGAAGTTATTCCACTCTTCAAAATACAAATTGGAAAATAGGTAATTTGAATTCTGTTCTGCATACAGAAAATGAACATATTATTCTTCTTCTCGTTTGCTCAGCATTCCTGTTTGCTGCAGGCTCATGGAGTTGTAGTCAGGACAGTTTACTGGGCTCTTTGTAAGGGTCCAGACAGTTTAAATCACTTGATCAGTGAACTCCTGCTCTTCTTGGGAGTACCCAGTGGACTGCAAAGCCTACAGAATGAAGGAGTGTTTCAGTTTGTATCTTTATCTTTTTCAAGAATCTTTTTTTTTTGCCAATGTTGTGACATAATAGCCAAAACTAGTAAAATGTTTGGGCGAGTGGCCAGTGCTTGTTTAACAGAACAGTCACCAAAACTGGAAATATCCTTGAATCGGAGGCTTTTTAAATCGAGTCATTGTGGGGCCAGATACAAAGAGAGCTGGATAAAAACACCTGCGTGTTCAGGCTGCTTGTAACTTTCTTCCCAAAAAGCATTGCTCCCTCCTTCCTGCCCTGAGTAGCTCCATGTGGGAGCAATGGCTTCCCAGCCTGCAGATGGGAAAGCAGCACACACCCAGCACAGCTCCTGCCTGGGTAGCTGGTGCCAGCCACGTCTCTTTGGATTAAAGGAAGTAACAGCCTGAGGAGGGGGAAACTCCACCAGCTTCAGATGTAGTGAAGTTTATGATGAAATAAGCTGCACTGATCCTCCTTGTTCAAGGGATTTGGTCACACCTTGGCTGCAGGTGTTGGTTGAGGCATAGGGGAACACAGGATTGATGCTGGGTGCAACTGCAGGCAAGTCCAGGTTTCTGCAATGAGGAAGAAGGAAATAACATTTGTTGGCATACCAAGGTGTCACTGGTCA